TCTTCCAGAGTTCTTGGATTTCTTGGTAGGTTTAGCCAGGTTAGTAATGGTAATTTTTTTGCACGTATTAAAAATTTACCGAAATCAACACCCGTGGCTGCCACAACTTCGTCTACTGAAAATACGTCGTCCCCTTCACTTTCTTCTTCTTCAGTCGTCCCTTGGTACGACCAGTCAGATGAATCCGTCTCTATTTCGGAGTCTGACATTGATGATAACTTTGATTTTTACAAAATTTCACAAAAAAATGCAACAACAACACATGCGAATTTCTAGAACACTCCAAAGTATTCCAGTTGACTCTCCCAACAAACCCGCTAAAAAATGTCCTTTCGTGCCCCAAAGCATTCTCAATTACGCGACGAAAATTTCAATTCCATGCGTGACTCAACTTGTCCAGATATAATTGCACTGATTAATGATATTTTGTAATTTTGTAGTTTAACTTGGGCTTATCTCAAGATACAATTGATTTATAATTAGGCCAACTTATTTGCACCCTATCAGTATTAGAATTATAATTGCATGGCAAAGCGGCTTATACCTACATAGTTTGCCAAATTAATAATTTACATAAGTAAAATAATCATTTTATCTGTAATTATCATAACCGTATTCTGTCAAAGTACGCACGCTTTTATGAATATTTCGTTGGCACCTATAATATTTCGATCATTTGCCATTTTAGGTTGCCATTTGCAACACACGACTGAAATAAAATTTCATAAGCATTTCCTCCTGAAAACTACGAAACTGCTTCCCCTGTTCATTCTTCGCAACACTGTCATGATGTGGAACAGTAAATAGTTCTTGTTTATAATTCTAAATGCAGTTTTGTTTTTGAACTTGTTTTAATTACACATTTAAACACACACTTCATGCCTTCGATGGCTGTATTCAGCTAAATTTATGTAGGTAGGTGTAAAGAACACTCTCCTACAGAGGGGAGGTTCTTCAATTGCTGTAGACTCTGCCACAATTTCGTAATCGGGCAAAGATAAGTGGCATGGCATATTACAGGATGTTATTAACTTTATTTAGGCGTCAGGAACCACGCACCACCAAGTTTTTCAGATTGATTTGTTTGGCGGATAAAAATGAAGTATCACATGCCAGGCTTTTTTAAAATTAAATTTGATGCCGATGACCACACCCCCTGGGGGTGTGTTTTTCAAATGTGCAATATTCCTTTCGGATTGCTTTATTGGGCTGATAAAAATGAAGTATCACATGCCAGGATTTTTTAAAATTAAATTTGATGCCGATGACCACACCCCCTGGGGGTGTGTTTTTCAAATTTGTAATATTCTTTTTGGAATTGCCTCATTAATTTGAGTAATACGACATATTGCACGCTAGGATTTTATTAAGCAAATTTAGGTCAGCAGAACCACACCCCTCGAGGGTGTGGTTTTGAAATTCAAGTATTATATCAGGACTGGCCTCGTCCGAATATTATACTCACATTTCAGGTTACAGTATGATTTTACATAATTAATTAACCATTTATAATTTTGGAATTGCAGTTAGGCCTTTTTCTAGTTTTTATTGTGCACTTAGGCCTTTTTAAAATTAAACATTGACTGCACATAGGCCTTTCTAAAATTTAGCATTGGCTGCAGATAGGCCTTTCTAAAATTTATTATTGACTGCACCTAGGCCTTTTTAGAATTAGTACGACGTAATGCCATAAATCCACAATGCCATAAAGTATTAACCGTATGGGAAATTTATGTATATGTAGCACAATCGGATCATAAATATTATGATCATAAATGTTATTGGTTCGGAGCATCTTATATATTTAAATATTTTAACACAATGGACAAATTCTAGTTAGATACGCCGACCATTCTATTCCATGCCAATTTTTGTATAAGTTTTGCGTCCACTTTCCAGTCTATGTATATATGTACATATATTTTACTTGGTAGGGACTTGTATAAGTAAAACGCATAAATTAAGCACACGCATTGGAAAATGGTATTCAATTATTGCTGGCCGGAGAATATATACATAAATATGACTCTACCCGAATGGTATAAACTAGCATTATTATCTATTCAGTATACATACAGAAACCATTTTCGTACCATTCAGAAACACGTTAGTATCAATCCGGCAGAAAACCACTGCCAAAACACCAGTATGGGGTGTATAAATATGTGACTCTAGACCTTTGTCAGAAATGATCTTGCATTAATAAACAAGCTACCAAAAAAGAGAAATCTTAGTGAGGCTGGGTGTAGCTATCAATATTAAATACATTTTTCGGAACAGCATTTGCATCACGACTCTCCAAACTATCTTATCCTAGATAATTTATTTACTAGTAGAATTGTTTACATACATTAGTGCAACTTGAATAACAATGAAAAACTTTATTGTTTTTAAGTGGTGTCAACCGTTCGATCTCGCTTGCGATCGTCATCAGGGCAGAATTAATTACATAATTATTAAAAAATTACTGGAATTAAATATATTTAACCCAAGATTTTGAATTAAGACAATAGGAGTCCATATCCTGATCAATAAACCGTAGTAACGTTAGAAGTAGCTCACCCTGGAATAATTAGTTGGATATCATCAAAGGTGCAAAATAAGCGGATAAAATAGATGCATCATTTTTTATATAATTTTGCACAAATGGTACAGAATAAACGGGAAATATAAGAAATTTGATATAATATTGCACCAATGGTGCGGTCAAAATGGTTAAAATTGGGACTAAATTTTGACACTATTTCGAGGTAGAGGCCAAGGATTACTAGCACTGTTAGTTAATCCTAATCCTAATAATCCTAATTATTGGTGCAGAATACATCGATTCCTCCAATTATTTCGCACCATTTTGCTATGCATCCTATTTGTTACATATTTGTCGTTTGCATATTGGTCGCTTACATATTCGTCGGGATACATATTTGTCGGGTAACATAAATTTTGCATAAATGTCGTTACATACATAAACGCTGGTTACATATTTGTCTTTACATATTTGTCACCCCGTCGCCTCGGACGGGGCTTATCTGTTTGGCTTATCTTGAAATACTCAAATGTAAGTGATGATTAGACCAGAAGTTGGGTTGTTCGTTGTATGTATCGGAAATAAAACGATGAGGAATTGGTTTACGTAATGCTAAGATTATGCGACGTAAGCATTTATGACGAACTCCAAGCGCATTAGTATTAAAGGGTGTACATGGAAGGCTTATTAACATTTGACGGAAAGTGCAATTCAGAGTTTTAACTCCACACAGAGCAGACGGAGTATACAGGGAATGTCTATGAGTGACCCCTCTAAAACCACTGTTACAATAGCGTCTATACCTGTCTAGGTTGATTTATGGCATTAGAAATACCCTAGTTTTATGATCCTAGCCTTTAGGTATAAATACGCCTCCAAAATCTGTGTGAGAGGCAGATGAGATTTGTACTTACTAGCACACGGTTTCTACCTCTGGAACTTGAGCTAGGTAAATGTTTTAATAAATGCAACTACATAAAATATAAAATGAATGCGTTGCTTTCTTCATTTATCATCATCTAATGCGTAACAACCACTACTGGACAATTTTCTGTGATAAACCTTCCTACCAGTAGAGCATAAATAATAGTTTGAGCCGGGTCTTAATCCAGAAATAATTAAAGAAATCAGTGTTAGTCTCACATTTTGGGGGCAATTCTGTAAGTTGAATGATTTTAGTTTATTTCTTTGAGATTTAATTCCCCTTCAACTAATTTCAGTTCTACTAATTTTACTACGGTGTTCAATGACAATTTGATAACGATATGTAACTAGGCCGTCAAATTAGCATGGCAAGAAAGTATTTGCTATCACATTACCTTGAGTTGACACTCCCCAGTAGCAAATTCATGAGATCATACTAAGGAGTTATGTCATATATTTATTTTAAAAAAATATTCATATTAATACACACATAATATGTTTGTTACATACTTTTATTTATGTTGTTTATTTAATGGTTAGGTTAGGTCACCAACCTATATATATTACACTTTTATGTATTTCACAATTCCAGCGAATTTGTATTCGCCTTACAGTTCTTATCTAAAACAAATAATTTTGCGGTGGCAAAAGCACAGCAAACACACATACATTTATTCCTTCACCATCCCAAGGCTTGTGTATTGTATCGGATAAACGTTAAATTTGATCGTCTGGAATTTTCCCAAACTCCATTTGCTCGATATGCCAGTTTTATCAGATTTATCAGCTTACTTCCCTTCATTGTGAATAAAATTTAGTCACAAAATTAGATAACTTATCTTTCATTGCATTAGCGACTCAACCTATCTCCCACACTCATATATAAGCCGGCACTTTAGGGGTCTGACCAAGTCAAAATTCGATTTTAGCAACCTTGGCGGTGCGACCAAGTCAAAATTCAGTTTTGGGAACTTTGGGGTGTAACCAAGTAAAAATTCGATTTTGGCAACCTTGGGGGTGCGACCGAGTCAAAATTCAGTTGTGGGAACTTTGCGGGTATAACCAAGTCAAAATTCGATTTTGGGAACCTTTGGGGTGCGACCGAGTCAAAATTCAGTTGTGGGAACTTTGCGGGTATAACCAAGTCAAAATTCCATTTTGGGAACTTTTGGGGTGCGACCGAGTCAAAATTCAGTTGTGGGAACTTTGCGGGTATAACCAAGTCAAAATTCAATTTTGGGAAGTTTGGGGGTGTAACCAAGTCAAAATTTGATTTTGGGAACGTTGGGGGTGTAACCAAGTCAAAATTCGATTTTGGGAACTTTGGGGGTGTGACCTAGTCAAAAAATCAGTTGTGGGAACTTTGGGGGTGTAACGAACTCAAAATTCGATTTTAGGAATTTTGGGGTGTGACCAAACCGAGAATAAATTTTGAGTTGGTTACACCCCCAATGTTTCAAAAATTGATTTTTGACCTGGTTACACCCCAAAGTTTAAATTCGAAAGGGTTACGTTAGTTTGAAAGGGTTATATTAATTAAATAAATTCATAAATTGCAAGATTCCAATTTCGGTATTGTAATATCGAAATATCGATATTTCGGTATCTGAATACCTGTTATTTCGGTATTTTAATACCGAAATATCGGTATTTCGAGATCTCGAAATATCGAGATTACATGCCCTAGTCACAACGCACAGTGGGCCAGATTTAATAAATTTTGGCCAAAAATACATAGGAGCCGAATTTGAAGAAAACATAATTAGATTTTGGTGTACAACAATAATCTAAGGCATATATTGTATGTGGAAATTTTTAGTAGTCACATGACACACCCCCAGTGGGTGTGGCTCTCGGCGACTTTCTGGTTTTAACGATACCATGTCATGTGATATATCATTTTTCTCAGGTCGACGAGGGGACCTCGACAGAAGCAATACAATTTTAACACCACACCCCCAGTGGGTGTGGCTTTAAGCAAATTGTCGATTTTAGCAAAAACATGTCATGTAACATCATGTAACATCATTTTTCTCAGCTCGACAAGGGGGTTTCGGCGAAATACCTAACATTGGGAAAACGCTCCCTCAGTGGGTGTGGTTATCAGGAAATGCTCGGGGTGTGGTTCCCAGAAAGTTTTCGATTTTAATAAAACCATGCCATGTGCTATATAGTTTTTATCAGCTCATCAAGGGGGTTTCGACGGAATACCTAAAATTAGCGTTCAGCTACTTTTCGATTTTAACTAAATTATGTCATGTCATGTAATACATCATATCTCGTAATTTAACGAGGGGATTTGGATAAAATAATTTGAATTGCATTACGCAAGCTAAGAAAACCCCTTGATTACTTCCGGTTCCTCCACAACTTAACGGTATTTCAGGCAACCCAAATTTCGGAGGGTTTCCTGGTGCACCCTGCCATTCATCCAAACGTTGGGTTATTTTAATAATTTTTTCCACAAATGAAGACACACGTCTGGGGGACATTTTCAGAAAAAATTAGTACCGAGAACACAACAGCAAAAAAGTTTCAGAAACTGGTTTGAAATTTTTTTGAGTCATCAGAAACTTTATGGCCACCATGTATGTAGAATTTGTCAAAGCTTGCATTGCTGTACATATCAATTTTGATTACATTGATCAGCCTCCTCAAAGTGTAAATTTTATGGAAAACATGAGATGACTTATCTTCCATTGGATTGGGGAATAATTTTACCTACCTCGTTCATTCACATATCTGTATTTATAAACTGAGGTTGACGCTGCTCATTTTTATACCTAAACCCACCTAAATTTTGTGTTGAATTGATTTTCAATAATTTTTGGATTAAGGTAAGAAAAAATCAAACCTGGGTCGAAACATGCAATTCTAGAAGCTTATACATATGATTATATGCACATCAAGCTTCTGATATAATACTGTTTTATCCCAACAATCGCAATGGTCGTAAAAAAAGAAAAGTTAGTAGCGTACATAATTTTCTTATCGATATCCTTTGATTCTGAAATGTTTCCAGCTTAACTATGACATCCAAAACATCGAACAACATCCTTGTCATAATTATTGACGAAAATTTCGACGAACTAACAACTTTATTGGATGTGAACGATTCTCTGTTAAGCTATCTCGAAGTGAAGAGCATAATCACTGATGAAACCGTGGATTTGTTGGTAAATTAATATGAATTATGTACATAATAAAAATTAGTGATGTTTATTAATTTCTTTATAAGTTTTTAATTCAAGTGTTTTTGTTTAAGCGCAAGATTAACGGGAAAGTAAATAAGGCACACAGGTTGCTTACAATTCTTCGTAATTTAAGGACTGACGAAGACCTACCAGTAATTATGCACGCTCTCGGAGATGACGTTAGCTGCAACAAAAGAGCTTTCCAAATATTCCAACCATACCTACCAGGTATACAAAAATTTTATTATAAACATGTACATACACAAGTAAAAAAACGTTGATTCCCTTAACATCCAGCCACCTGTAGGAGACTTCATAATGTGTATCAATCAGTACGTTGTGCGAAGTCAATATTTTTCATTAATAAGTTTTCCTCATTTAATATTATCAGCGCGCTTTAACTTGTCCCCGCAACATACACATTTTAACGGTGTACTTTCCGTGCTGTAGAATGTGGAGCGTGTATACTGACTGTGTTGTGGAAACCGTTAATTTGTGTATGCGACCGGGACAAGTTATAGCGCGCGGCTAATAACTAAGAAAACATCCCATTTTCCCACTTTGCATTTTTATCTTGTTTATTAAGTAAACTTTACGTTTTATTTACTTGGTACAACCAAAATCCCAATACTGATAAAACCCGTAGTGGCAATCGACTGTACGAACGTACATTACAAAACATAGCTTTATTAGCTCACCCTGCGTAGCATGAGAGCTATTGAATTCCTCTTGTCCGTCTGTCTGTCTGTCTGTCTGTCTGTTCACGAGTTTTTTGCATCAATTGATGCTAATTAATCAGCCCCAAGACCATTTTAACCCTAATTTGTAGCACAATTGGTATCCAAAAATCGTTAACGCAAAATGGTGCGAAATAATTGAAGGAATCGATGTATTCTGCACCAATGATTAGGATTAACTGAAAGTTCTAGTTCTCCTTGGCTGCCTTAACTTAACCTTGAAATCGTGTCAAAATTTAGTCCCAATTTTAACCATTTGGACTGCACCATTGGTGCAATATTATATCAAATTTCTTTTATTTCCCGTTTATTCTGTACCATTGGTGCAAAATTATATAAAAATTATACATCTATTTTATCAGCTTATTTTGCACCTTTGATGCAAAATTATGTCCAACTAATTATTCCAGGGTGAGCTACTTCTAACGTTACTACGGTTTATTCTTTTTGCACAGTTACTATAATCTTCTTTCTTTTGCAGTCAACGACGCGAATAAAGGTGATGACTTGCAATTTTCAGACTTACACTTAAAGATAAACGAACATTTGGTGGACACGATGGAAACTTGGATGGAGTTAGAAGTGCCAAACTCGTCAAGAACAACTACATCGTCCGCAGAATGCGGTGAATAATTTTTGCTCTACACCTGCTATACATTCCATAAGTATTTAGTTTGACGATTTCTCTTATTGGTTTTATGTCATGTATAACGAATTTCTTTAAAATTAAGGCATATTTTTATAAATACCTACGTTAAAAAATTGGAATGCTTTTGAGATATACATATAGTAGCCAAGCTAAGCTGATATGTTAAAAGAATAACTCAAATATCTGATAATGAGCCATACACGTTACATATTTGGATGCCTATAAGCGTTATTTTTTTAATTTTAGACCACTGGAACTACAATGTCACCAAATTTCTTGGGGTTGGCTCTTTTGGTGTGGTTTTTCAAATCAGAGAAACGTCTACTCGGTTGAACTCCGACCGGGTGGACGCAGCACTTAAGATAGTAGTTGGACAGACAAGAGATGTGACTGAGTTTAAGAATACAGTGGAGCGAGAATGCCAAATAATGGACGCTACAAATTCAACTCCCCACGAAAATGTGGTTACTATTTTGGCCCATAAACTTCTTGAACCTGGAGGTCCAAACATCATCGACGAATACATGCAGGCTACCAATACTACTTTAGAACATGGGAAACGACTTTGTTGTTTCGCCCTGACAGATAACTTAGCCCACGGACATCCTGCCATAATAATTAAAATGGAACTATGTGGTCCAACCCTGCAGACATGGTTACTCAAAAACGATAAAAAACCTGAACAAGTTAGCAATGTCGATATAGACTTTACGCTGCGCAAACAAATTACACTTGGGATGATTTCTGGCCTAAAATTTCTCCATTCCAAGAATATTCTGCACCGAGATTTGAAACCTGAAAATATTTATTTTTCCCACGTCAAGGACTCTGACGATTTGTTCCAATGCCCTATAAAACTTGGAGACTTTGGGCAATGCCGTAAAGTCCCGGGTGATGCCACCATGACACAAACGGCTCAAGTATGGTCGGAACAGTACCGAGCTAGAGAAGCTAAAGAATTCGATGAACTAGGGAACCTCCGGTACGGGCCGAATGCTGATTGGTTTTCTGTGGGACTTATTATTTTTGAAATGTTCCACCTGATTCCCAAGACAGTGCTCAAGACAAAATTTGCTGACCTAATTGGAAAAAAGGGTGTTGGTCTGGTAAACGATTTTCCTGACATGCCAAATCTGAAAGATATCATAATCGGTTTAACCAGAAAAATGTCTGACGCTAGGGTGCCAACCATCAACAAAATTCGTGACGATAATTTTGTTATGTTTTAATATCACTTTAACAGTTCCTGTTTATGCTCAAAAGTTAGAAAGACCAAATGCCATCAGTATAATATAAATATTGCATTAGAAACAACCACTGGTAAATATGTATCAGTTTAATAATTTTCCGCGAATACGTTACTTTCAACATAAGTTATCCAATTTAAGCTACAACATTATACATACATAGTTTTATTCAAATTGAAAAATAAATTTGGTAAAATTTAATGCTTTCGTAATATTTCCTTCATGTGAAGTTGCATAAATGAAACTTATCACATTGCACAAATTATAATAATTGCCTGTACCTATGTATATAGTTTTAGTGTAATTTACTAATGCCATAAATCCACAATGCCATAAAGTATTAACCGTATGGGAAATTTATGTATATGTAGCACAATCGGATCATAAATATTATGATCATAAATGTTATTGGTTCGGAGCATCTTATATATTTAAATATTTTAACACAATGGACAAATTCTAGTTAGATACGCCGACCATTCTATTCCATGCCAATTTTTGTATAAGTTTTGCGTCCACTTTCCAGTCTATGTATATATGTACATATATTTTACTTGGTAGGGACTTGTATAAGTAAAGCGCATAAATTAAGCACACGCATTGGAAAATGGTATTCAATTATTGCTGGCCGGAGAATATATACATAAATATGACTCTACCCGAATGGTATAAACTAGCATTATTATCTATTCAGTATACATACAGAAACCATTTTCGTACCATTCAGAAACACGTTAGTATCAATCAATACTCTGGTGAAAGATTTTCCAGACATGCCAAATCTGAAAGATATCATAATTGGTTTAACCAGGAAACTGTCTAAAGATAGGGTGTCCACCATCAATAAAATTTGCGACGATACGTTTGTCATGTTTTAAAGTTACTTTGTGGAAAATATGGATCAGTTTATAAATTTCCTGGAACATGTTACCTTCAACCTAAGTGATCCAATATGTATGTATACCCTCAACCTTAGACATCTTTTTATCCTAATTGAAAAATAAATTTATAGCAATTTAATGTTTTCGCGATATATCCTCCAGGTGAAACTCAACCCTGGGAATGTATTTATATATTTATGATATCCAAAAACGATAAACCCGTCTGGGTCATATTAACAGATATTGCAAACGGGTAGTAAGGCGATTTGGTTCCGAGATTGGGTACAATTAGGCAGATCTTTGTAATAATTATTAGGCAACATCAACTTTTGAGTTGAGGATTTTATTCATCCTTAACTTTATCAGTCGTCAATGAATGCATGGTAAATTTTGCACAATTATACGCGATATAAAGTATCCCACTTTATTGTAGATGCAATGCATTGGTATGCATGAAGTGTTTATATCGCAATGTTTTGATAGATGAGTCTAGCATAACTAGAATAAACCGTTACAACGAATGTAACCAAGGGGTGAAAGAACTGTTTCATACGTTAAAATGAATTTCTTGTTAAATTGACATATATATGCCCTATGACCTTAGGATGACCTCTGAGGTCAAAAATGGAGGTCACCATTGAATTCGACGTTGAAAAATAGTTAAAAATGACGTGTCACATGCCAAAACTGACAAGTGACACTTTTTCGTCACTTTTCGTCACTGTGACGACGTCATCGTCACAGGTGACGTCCAAGTGCAGAATGACATGAATTTTCGAATTCCTCATTGAAAAATAGTTAAAAATGATATGTCACATGCCAAAACTGACACGTGACACTTTTTCGTCACTTTTCGTCCCTGTGACGATGTCATAGTGTCCATCTTCGAACTCGTCCTGTCCCTTGACGTTAGGAGTTTACGTTCAAAATTCCAAGTCTCTATGTCTTTTCGTTCAAAAGTTATCGGACCAACGGACGGACAGACGGACAGACGGACATAACGATCTTATAAAGGGCTTTCACCCCTTAATAATGTAATAAGAATATGCAATTGCTATGAGTTTGGAGTTTTAAAGAAATTTAGCAATTAATAATAATTTATGCGACTTAACAACAGGAAAATAAACCGACTTGTTGCCAACACCCTAAACCAGAACGGGCGATTCCATTCGACCTCCGGAAATCATGCATAGTGTCCCATCAATTTCCGCGAACCTGGATAAAAAAACATATTTAAGATAGATGTATACAATGAAATAGTGTTTTTTTTCTGCGCTCTAACGATTTTCGAGTTTGATGGCTTAAAATATTCGTAATTTTGTGTACATGAAGAATCCGTAATAATATTTGGGTGGCGCATAGTCACTTTTCGCGATACGAGCCAAAATGTGCTAATTTTTTTTGCTTATTTTGGATTTTGACTCAAACTCGTGCAAATTTTGGTCAAATATTACCCGAAATAATTTCGGACTAACATTTGGCAACTGTCTTGAATTCTGGCCCCAGTTTTCCAATTTATTGATTTTGCGAAATAATTGCATTATCCATACTAGTTTTCCACGATCGAATTATGGAATTCTGGTTATCATTTAGGTTGCATTGTGATTTGATATGAATCTATTCTCAAAATTTTATACATATTTATTCAATAGTCAAACATTTTCTTAGCACTTTTAGCAATCTTAGACATTTAGAAATTTTAGTTGTACACAATTGCATCCTTAATCGAATGAATACTCAGTAACTACTCGCAATGAGGGCGAACGCCATGCTCAACCAAGTATCAATTTTGACGCTAATATAAATCGTATTTCGGTTACCAATCCGCTGCAAAATTTCATCCACGCGTCTGGAGTTTTTGCCTATTTTCCCAATAATTTCTTATATTTCTCACTTCATGCGCAACCGAGATGATTCATATAAATCATTGAATCTTACTACGTGATACATATCAGTTGTAACACTGGTTAATGCGTTGATTTAAAAATCATTTAAAATATTTTTTGAAATGCAATAGTGCTACTCAGTCGGTATTCTCATTAAAATGTATGCATCTAACTTGAAAATCGTTGGAAGATGATAAAAACACTATCTAATTGTATATATCTATGTCAATGAGAAGGAACGTTGATCACAAATACACACGTACCAATTTGCCTCGAATTTAATAATAAATATAAAAATTTCGAATTACTCCTAACTTGTAATAAATATTACCTGCATTAAATATGTGTATGTAGCATGTCAAAAAGTGTAAATAAACAAAAAATCGTAATATTGTTATACATATCTATGATTTTTTTCGTTCCCAAATTAATTATTGATATAAAATCCACCACAACAATTAAAAATAAACCGTAGTAATGTTAGAATTAGCTGACCCTGTCATCATAATTTAGACAGAACTTTGAACCGAAGGGGAGGAATAAACCGACAAAATAGATCATAACCTTTATATATTCTTGCATCCATGGTGGAAAGGTTGGGCCTGGCCGTAGCACCAGTAGTGCAGCATTAGCGACCATCCGGGATCCATAATTATGAAACCTTTGTCAAAATTGTATGATAATTTCTCCGGGATATTCTGCACTATTGTGTCCGTTCCCCCAATTATTTCGCATCATTTTGTGTTACCAATTGTTACATATCATTCGATATCGATTAATTTATTAAAAAATTCGATTCGGTTTGTTCAATACCAACTTATTCAATAATTGTCAGGGGGATCTTTAATTAGCATCAATTGATGAAAAAACTCGTTAACAGACAGGCGGACAAGAGGAATTCAATAGCTCCCGTGCTACGCAGGGTGAGCTAATAACACAAAATCACCTATCACAATTTCTCACGAAACTGCCAACGGTGTCGAATTTTTTGTTTCGACCGTTTTAGACGTAGCTTTGAGCGGTGATCTCAGAAATCGCCATCAATTCGACGCGTGACAAGCCCATGACCGTGTGGGTGGTATGGAACAGAGGTAAACGCCGCCGATTACACGCCGCCGCGCCGCCAGACACCGGTAGTATGTTAAGCGTCGCCGCTGCCGATAAATCTTATTTCCTATACCTACAACATTGTGGCGCCGCGCCGCGCCGCCACGCCGCCGAAAAATCTTCCAAAATTGGCGCCGCCGCCGCCGACAAATTCGTCGGCGTTGACCTCTGGTGTGGAATGTCAGAAAATGACTTTCGCCATGCAAGGTGTCCATTGAAAGGTATTGTCGTGTACGCCCGAGGTACGCGGATGGGGTGTCAAAACGGGGCAAAATGGGACATGAGTTGATGTGAGACAATGACGGGAATGAGCGCTGTAACACATTGTGCGCACAACGTCTAGATAAGGCGTGACCTACTTGAAAACTTTATTAATGCTGATAAATTGATCATCGTCCTGCAAAGCTTTGCTACATTTCGTTTCCAACGATTTATTATTGGGAGAATATCATAAATAAATGGTGAAAGAAATTTAATAAAAAAACATTTAAGTGGGATCAAAATAAAAAACAAGCAAATATTTCTTGTAAATTATTCTAATTACTTTCTTATTTATTTATATGTGGCGAGATTGGTGGCCTTTATTCACGGGAAGTATTAATAAATAACTCAAAGAATTTGTCTTTATTATCATTGCATACACATTACATAAATTACACATCAGAAAAGCTGACTACAAAGGAGTTAATAAATAATGTACTTAAATAAGCTAAATAAGCTAAGCTTTCGACAAGATTTCAAACTTAGCTGACTTACATATTTACCGACATTGCAAAACAGCTTAAGTTCCCTTCATAAAATTAGTTGGCACAATGCACCATGAAATTCACCACACGCTGTTGTTTTCCACACCCCATTCAAGCTGGCCTCCGCAGAGGAAGTAAACGTTAAGCACGTTTTAGGTAGACGATTCAGGTCAAGTCTTGGCGCAAAGTAGGTAACAGTTTTGTTTCCGGTTGTCCAACGGTATTTAATTGGCTGCTCTACTTTTCCAAATGCAGGGATCCAGTATTCTAAAAGACCCATATTTCATAGCAGAACAGACTAATACTACTGTTTACGCGGACGGGACCATATGTAATTTTTTCAGGGAATAGTAAAAATTAAATGTTTAACTTTGAATTACAAATATTATAAACTAGCGTATAAGCCCGTCTACCGCCGGGCGAGAGCTTATTTGATTTACGTGAAAATTAAGTCGGATTGTTAATAATTCCAGCGAATCATCTTTTACTATAAAATTAGCTAGAAATGCCTGTTGGCGAGGGAAGTTAAACGTTCTCCATTTTTACTTCCGTCACGGAAAATTACTTCCACTTCCGTTGCA